TAGTCGCTTGCTGGCGCCATTTAACGTGCACACAATGGGGTGGTCATCCCGCGTTTCTTGAAACATGTTTGTTTTGAAATTTGTCGTGTTGTTGTTCTGTTCTTTTCTTTTTTGTGTGTGTGTGTGTGTGTGTGTTTGTTTTGAGGGGGGTTTTCGATGTTTTCTTTGTGTTTTTGTCTTTGTGTTTTTGTTTTTTTGAACGGGGGGGCAAGAAAGGGTCCGTGCACCACCAACCCATTCTCGAACAAAACCCGGCGCCTCACGTCTCACATACCCCTAGCAGCCTCGCACCCTGATTTTTTTTTTTTCGCTCCGAGCACGTCGTGATGAGAGGCCTCGGAGACATGGCAGGTCAGCCTCGCCGACCGTGGCTAGGCCCGACGTTTGGTATTGGCTTTCAAAGGGGAACTGCCTTTCCAACCGTAGCATGGTACGTAGCAAGAACAACGTGTTTCTTTTTGTTGTTCCTTTTGTTCGCAGCCGCCGGGTACAAGGGAACATGTTTGCTAAAAATATGAGAAACATGCCAACGTGAAGGAACGCCCTTCAAAAAAAAATGCCACTGGAGGTCCAAGACTTTCCAGAGAAGCGTTTGGCATTTTCCCTGAGAAACACCTCTTCAGGGACCCATGGGACCCTCAAAATTGGTGGTTGTCCTCTTGAGTCCCCAAAAAGGGTGCCCGCAACAAAAAGACGAGCCACCCACTTTAGCTTCGGTCTCGTGCGTTCCTTGGCAGAGCTGTCGCCTGTCGGTCGGTTTGCTTTGAATTTTTCAGGGGCACAAAGGGAACTGACAAAACTCGTCCATCTAACGGTGAGCACGCTTCCTAAGTGGGTTGGCCAAAGTCCACTCTTTTTGTACGCAACTAAAACGGCCTTCCCAAAAGTCACAAAAGTGCAGAAACTCCGGAAGTACGTGAGTGACCTACTTCCCCAAAAAGGTCTCAAAATCTGAAAATCTGAGGCTTTGGGGCTCCATCTCAATCTGCAGGGTACCTGTTGAGCATTGACTCAAATGAATCCAACACAGTTTCAGCCGATTGTTGGAAAGAGGACACTGCTGACCCCACATTCATGCCGGCGGAGGGGTGGGTGCGCCCCCCACGATCAAGCTCAAACTACAGCATCTCATGAAATGATTTCAAATCACCCCCAACCCCCTCCGGAACCTCTTTGAAAGCTGCCCCAAACCACCCCGTACGAGCCGATTTCTGCTTTCTGGGCCCCTCGACCCCAAGTCAATCGCTTTCTGGGGCAAAAAATCCCCGGTTCTGCAACAAGGGCTCACTTTCCCTCCAAACCCCCAACAAAAACCGCCAAAATGGACTCCACAGCTTTCCAGGAAACATACCCCGTGTTCTGGGAGAAAAAGAAGAGGCTGAACTTGAGGGAGAGTTTCCCTCCAACCCCCGCAAATGGCGTTGACTGGGTGTGGCCCCTCCCTCCCAAGGAACAAACAGCCGCTAGGCTCCCGGGCGGGCAGCCCCGCGTAGAGAGGCGCAGGTCGGCGTCTAGGCGGCCTTGACGTTCTTCTTCCGCGCCGGCGCCGTGGTGCCCTCGCGGAACCTCCGGGGGATTTTGTTTCTCTCCGAGTCGGACAAAACTGGCATCCCCTTCTAGATGCTTGAAAGGGAAAGCAAGAGGACACTACCCACACAAAATTGCGGGCCACATCTATTTTGGACAACTTGCCATAGTTGTGCATGCGGGGTGTTTCCGGGACGAACATGTTCGCACCAGATAGAAGCTGCCCTAGTTTCGCAGGGTCCACGAAACGACTAACATTCGCTTCCTTCGGTCGAAGACTGATTTACAGTCAGTCCGGGAATGGGAAGGTCATGAGCCTTTGGGTCCAAAATGGCTTGAGCCCGAGTCGTCACTAGGCTGCTTGCTGGTGCGATAGGTTGGGAATGTGGGAATGAACCCAGGGATTCCCTTAAAGGAAACCACCAGTCGGATGGCTTCTTTGGGGGTCATTCATTCCCTCATTCCCTGAGCGCCATCAACGTTTCTTGATTCTCCTGGGCATTTTCCTGGAGACATTCCTGGCTTGGCTTGTGTCTTGCATGGAACCCAACACCCATCATGAAAGGAATCTCCTGGGACATGGACCCAGGTGCTTGAACTGCATGTCACTTACAGAGACCTCCAGTGTCCGGAAACACCGGTTACCCTCTTCGATGTTAATCAATCAGCAGCAGGTAAACCGTTCTTCCTGTTGTTTCTCCACGGCTCGGGGAAAGTGTCTTTTGCTGCCTGCCCTGGCAGCCCTGGCACGTTTATATATATATATATATGTACAAACCCTTTTGGGTGGTCTAAAAGACATCCAAATGGTAGGATCTGTTGGGCCAAGTGAAAAATGTAAATGTTGGGTTCTAATGTTGAAAGGGGAAACATAGGGAGCCCCGTAATCGCACCAGAAACCGGTGGGCTTCTGATCATGGTCTGAACGCTGGTGCCTAGGATGTCGCCACCATCCACAGCCTCCCTCTACTTCGAATTGGTGGATTGGTGGTTTGGGATTTGAAGCCCTGGTTGCAGAAGGTACATGGGGTTTTTACCCCTCCTTAACCACAGCACCGAGCTCCAAGCCACCAAACAGCGAGGGAAGCTGATTCAGCTTCCCACTGGTTGGTGGTTTGGATTGGTGGTTTGGTGGTTTAGAGTAGTTTCAACAGCTACACTCTACAAGAGCCATAGGTTCAACTCGAAATCAAATCCAAACCACCGGGCTCCAAACCACCCATTAGTTGTCCGAAAGGCGACGTAGGTCCCCCAGCTAGGTGCAACCTTTCTCACCGACTTTTTTTGGTTGGGAGATTCGGTTCCCCTACTAAAGTAGGCTACGGAAAAAAGAAAATCGGGTGCCAACTTGTTGTAACCTCTCAAATCTGGAGGACCTAGCATAGGTTCAAATCCAACTCCAAACCAACTAGGGGCAAACTGATTCTGGGTGATCTAAACCCTTCACGCTCAACATGAATTAGATCAACCATGCCTACGTAAGTTGGGGAAGCCGGGGAAGCCACGTTGAAGTATAGGGACATCAGTCCGAACTCCAAATGTGTACTGGATTCCTTTCATCACCAGAAGAAATTCTCAACAAAAAGGATAATTCCCCACGTTCCAAGCCACAAACACAAGCCCTTGTCAGGTCAATTATAAATTGCCCAGGAGTGATAGTACCCACAAAGGCAATTGGCCCAAACAAAGTCAAGTTCAAACCGCTCAGTCTGCAAATTAAAATAATTTTGAAGGAAAGGTTCACCATGGCCAAAACGTCACCTTTCCTCACGAAACCAAAACAAACGACCGCAGAATGTGCCCTTTTTGAACCTTACCTCACTTGCCCAAAGGACCCAGAAATAAAAGGTTCACCTGTTGGGGCCATGACTAAAACTAGACGAAAAAGGAAAAACCAAAGGTCCAAAGGTCGGTTTTGGGCAACTGAATTTCGGTTTCGTAAAAAAAAAACAGGCGGATGCACTGCACGACCTTTCCCCTTGAAAGGCGGAAACAATTTGGGTGATGCCCCAGCCCCTGCGCGGCTAATTTTCGGAGTGGGGCCGGCGAATCTGTGATACAAAAAGGGCTTAACCCCAAAGACTAACCCCCCAGAAAAAGGGGGAGATTCCAACTTGTATCACAGAAGTGGTTGGAAAAACCCCGAGTGATCCCACAACCCTGAAGAAGATGGTCAATTGCTCATAGGACAGCTTGGGTGTTTGAAAGATTAGGAACCCCTTGCTTTCCAGTAACCATGCACAAAGAAACGCAAAAGCCTAGGGGCTACATCTATTCCTGGTTAACTTACCGAGTGTCCTTGGGAAATGGGAGACGGTATCGCTCAAGCAGCTCCATTTGCTGCCTCCAACAATCAACGTGCACTCTTTTTTGGTGTGGAGGTCATCCACACGTGTTCCCAATGAGGTGATCTTCACAAGGCCACCTTTTCTGATGACCAGTGCGCCGGGGAAGCAAGTTGGGGCATCTCGCTGGCAACGCGGCAACGCCGCTGAACGCGTCACAAAACTGCTCGACAATCTCGGGCGCCGCGCTTGTTCTTGAAGCGCCGGGCAATGTGCTTGACCTTGAAATGAGAACTTGGTCACCCAATGGCCAGGGCCTCTTCGCCCTTTGAAAAGTGCGGGAATTTCAAGGAGATTCCGCCCAGCTCTTCTATGTGAAGAGTTCATTCGAGTCAATCCTCAGTGCTGAACACCGGTTTTGGTAATTACAAAAGCAAGGCTTGAAAGTGAAGCCACCCCATTTTGCCAGTTGACAGCGGTGGGAACACCCTATTCGGCACACGTCCATTGATTGAGAAGAGTGTCGATATGTTGTAGTAACATGCGGACCAGGGCGGGGCCCCTTGAGCTACCATCTTTAAATTCTACCCGGCTCATGGCTCGACGCCTCTGAAGCACAAAACCGCCGGAAAGGTTCAAGCTGTAGAATGTAGAATTGGATCACCAGGTGCCTGGCATATGCCTTTCAAGACCAGCGTTATGAAACACCACTCTCCTTTCAAATCACCTGAGGGAAATGCTGCCCACTTGCAGCATATATTTTTCAGGGGTAGCGCAAAGTTCTTGGATGATCCACCTGCACATTACAGCTAGTAAAATGGTGACTGCTGGGTATGACGGAAAAGGACGTATTTTGAATAGCCAGCAACCACAAATGTTCCCCTGTAGCATTCAAGTGGTGTTTACCCTTGTTTGCCTGCTATTTTGGCAATTGGCTTGGGCCCGCTGCAAAAAATCAAGGTGGTTGCTACTTTTTACTGGTTAAAAGAGCAATCCAAGGAAAACAACAACGAGCAAACGTGCAAAAGGAGTCCCTAGAGTCCTCCATGACCCTTGAAAAATGGGTTCATGACCCCTTAATTTTGCGTAATGACCCCTGTTTCTCAGGCTCATGGAGACTCCAGGTCTGGCAATGTCCGTGAGACGCGAGGTGAGTGGTCGCCCGGGCCGCGGGCGTACTTCATGCGGCCGGTGCCCGGGGCGCGTCTGCGCTTGGACTGCGGCACGATTCGATCCATGGGGCGGCGGGGGGGGGCAGGGGCGGCTGGGACGAAAGACTTCGGGGTGGGTCAAAAATAGGTACCCAGAAGGGAACTGACCCATACCGAGCTGTGTGTGCACGACCGAGCTCTTGTTTTGGCTGGAATTAGGACCCCAGCAACAAATATGCATGTTTGCCGGGTTAGTGGAAAACAAAAGGAACCCCCAAATAAAAATAAAAATAAAAGGGGGAACTAATTCTGGGGAAGCTGTCTTCACCAAACAGAAGCATTTGATTCGAATCCACATTTGGTGAACATGGCAAAGTAACACACGATCCTAGTTAAATGATACTCCCCACATGGGTTGAAATCCAGAAACTGGCGAAGTGAGGTGTACGTGAGTGTGTCCAGACTGGAAAGGGCCCCTTTTGCAGCGCCACATCCCTGCTGTATCTAGCCATGTTCTAGGACCACCCTTGGAAATACTAGTTTGTACTCTTCCCAGGCTGGCTAGATTTTGAGGACTGTCCAAAACGGAAAACTGAGTGTGAAATGAGCTATCGTTCTGAGTGTACGCTAAACCAAGAAACTATCAAGGGTTGAATGTTGTTCATTTCTCCCAACCACCTATTCAACGCCGAGATTATCAAACTGCCCATGTACATTGCTTCCACGGGCGTCCAACGGGCCCAACATCCATGCTCCAGCTGCCCCAAGCTGCCCTGAAGCGAGCCCCCCGCACCTAGCCCCAGCCCCTTGCCCTTGGACTATCGCTGGCCTCCAGCCCCAGCATCAACCCCCAAGCCCTATGCAGTCCGAACACGCAGGTAAGACAACGTGTTTTTGGAAGTATCGCGAATATGCGGGCAAGGGTCCACGGCTGTGGGTTGTCAACCAAGGGAACCCCTTTTTCAGAACTCAATGGCAAATACGGCGCACTGCAACTTGCAGCTACCCACGGCTAAAAATTGCCCTGCGTTGGCTACCAAGCCCGGCCACGCCACCTCCGAACGCGCGTCCCTTTCCATAACCTTGAGCGAGGCACCCCTGGCTTTCTCTCAGAATCTCACTCGATCGTGAGACTGCCGTATGAGCTTGGTTGCACTGTCACTGTGCTTCAGGGAGACGCAGCTCCGGCGATACTTGCAAAAAATCCTCGCTCTGAAGGCACTGACGGTCGCGCTTCAGGGTTCCACCCACACACACTTTTGGCGCCTTCAGCAACGACCGCGGCTTGCAACTCGAGCCTGCGCGCTCTATAGCTTGCTTGCTGAACAAACGTGCCACCTCCGTTTGCTCCATGGGCTCTGTGACGTCTCCCAACTGATCAGCGCTGAGAAGGCACTCGCGGCTCAACTCATGTCCAGTACACCCATGCCTGAGCAAACTTCCACCGTGTGAGTGGCTGCTATCGACGCAGCAAAGCAAGGAAACCGCCGACCACAAGGTCGGCGCTAACCGCCTCTCACCGCTAGGCACTTGGGCCGAACTCACATTCCAGAGCCTGAAGCAAGGGATCCCCAAAAGCTTTCAGCTCCTTTCGCCTCCGGAGCTCGCAACCAAAGAATTCAACACCGGCCGCTGAACCTCTTCTGAACCCGCCGAATGGACGGGACGGGACAACGGAGGGATTCGGGATTCGGCGCGGAGCGCGGGACGGGCCTTCTTGGACCACTCGTACGATCGGGTCTTGGCCGCCGGGTACCTCAGCAACCAACAAATCCCTGTCATGAGGGGTTACCCCACATTTGGGCAGGACTTTTTTGGAGTTGGTACCCTTTTGGGGGGTGTTTTTTTTGATCGAAATATGGGGAAATCACCATGTTCTAGCGTCCCCCGATTTTGACAACATACCCAATTCCAAGTGACCCTCCGTCAGGTGCTATGTTGGCCCTCTCCTGGGGGACCATACAGGACAATACTCCAAGCCACCATCATCGCGGACGAGCTCGTTTACCCGCCAGCTGGCGTCTTATCTGGAGGGAACGAGAGGTCGCGGGTCAAATCCTAAGGTGCTAAAAATGGGGATGGTTACCACTCCACTGTGGTCTTTTAGAAGGCTTTCTGGGTGTTCACCGGGGTACCGAGGTTTTTACCCATCGCCAGGAACCGGCCGCCAAGGCCGGCGGTTTCTGAGCTCCACACCCGCAGGCCGCGCACTTCTTGTTCTGCCTGGGAACGTCAAAGGGGGAAATCTTAATCAGGATTCATGCAGCAAATCGTCCCATCTTAGAGGGGATGCATGGGGAATTGTTTACTTGTGGAGGAAAACCCTATATCAATCCGCCAGGCGTCACCGGCACGCCAGCGACCCCGTATGACATGTTGGCTTTGAGGGCTCTCGTTGACTTGCTAATTGTTCCCCTGGATGAGGCCCCGTAAATTCCGTCTCTCTGAGCGCTGAGCTGGTGATACGAGCGCTTGCCGCATCGGGGGCACAAGCCTCAGCGAAGAAACAGATCCTCCGATGGGCAAAACAAACCTGGGGGCTGTCCGTTTTTTCAGATCCCCCGCGAAAAGTGACCAACTTTTAGCGGGTGAAATGGAGTTCCAACCCCTAGACACTAAAATGCCAAGAAACTAAGGGGATGGCTGGGCCACCAAGGAAACACTAAAGTTTGTGTTTACCTTTCCTCACACAAACATAGCACCTGCGGGAGGATGCCTGGAAGATCAGTTTCCTCTTAGAGGGAACCCAGTAAGGGGGTACCACTAAAATGGCATTCAAACATAGTATCTGTACAACTCTTGGTATGAGCGAGCAAAAACAAAGGCCCTTGTTTTTAGCAGGCCACTTCAAAACAACTAAAGTGAAGGTTTAAAGTCCTAGAACCCAACACCTGCAAAGCCAAAAGACCTAAAGGACCTAAAAGACCTACAAGACCTAAAAGATCCAAAGACCTGACGAAGTGAGTCAGTTCCTCCTTGACCCTCGGGCCCAAAGCCCCCAAAAAATCTCCGGTGCCCGGATTTCTGGCCTTTTGCCCTGCTTGTGCACTGGGGGATCTTAAAGGGGTCTTCAAGTATAGTATCTTTTCTTCCCTTGGTACGTGCTACGAAAAAAATATAGGCCCAGGACCTTGCAAAAATACCAGGACCCATTTTCCGCAATGTTTTCTGTGCAACCCTTGGTACAGGCAAGCAACAAACATGCCTTTGCTTTTAGCAGACCACTTAAAAAGCAAATAAAGCAAGATCCAACAATTGTGAAGGTATAAAGTCCTAGAACCCAAAAGACCCAAAGACCCTGGGGATTTGAGTCAGTTCCTTCTCCTTGACCCATGTTCCGCGATTTTTCGTGTTCTTTTTGGCGAAACATCCCAAGGAATGGGCTGTGCGTCTTCTTGTGGCGCTTGCCCATCGCTGGCCTCAGCTTCCAGCGCGTCGCTAGAGACGACTTCGAGCGAGTGGTCGTGAGCGATGAGGTCGGGTGGAAATCAAAAGGTTTGTACATGGCGACATGAATCAAAAATAGGAACCGATTTGGATTTTGACCCATAGCCATATGGCTGTGTAAAAAAACATAGTTGGGAACCCCAAAATGGCGCAAGCCCTGGCAAACGGAAACATAGACTAAAATTCCTGCGGTCCAACTCCTGTAGGTTTAATTTTGACCCATACCCATATGGGACGACCAGGGAAACCCACAAAGGAGTTTTGACTTTCACCACACCCATGGTCATGTTGGAGTCATTTTGGGTCCAGGTGGATCAAAAAGGTCCGGGAGACAAGGGGGCTGACCCTGTTGGGATACCATGTCCAGTAGGGATTTTCATGGATTCCCTTTGAAGCAACAAGGGAGAATCAACAAGTGGGGGTTGTGACGTTCTGGAAACCACCAAAAACGATTTGAGTTTCACCACATGGGAAAAGCTGTCCATGGTCATTTTGGGGCCAAACGGAATACTGATAAAAGCCCCATATGTCTAAATCAGAGAAGCCAGCGCCAGGAACATCTTCGGTTTCTGTTTTTGCCAAGTTGAATTCCAGGTGAAATTTGATGCAGCCGATGTCTATGATAAAAGTTATATAGCAGGGAAACAGTCATTTTCCGGAGGATAAGGCTGTTTCTGTCGTACTAAAGAGCAGTCCATAGCGCTTTTGACACCAACAATTTTCCCCATGTGTCATGTTGTGCAAAGGGTACAATTTTTAGTTTTTGCCGTGCCCTGCGGTGGACATCATTTAAAAGAGATCTAGGCAACCACCAACCACACATGTATGCAACCACCAGCCATGTTTGAGGCTGTTCCCCTCCCCATGAAAACAGTTGTAGTGCGCCAGGCTGTTCCCCAACCATGTTTCAGACGGTTCGGTTTCGGCTTGAGAGCCTTTGGACCCGTTTTGGTGTTCTCTGTTCCGGAGCCATGTCCAAGCGCCCGGTCATCTCCCCTGGATTGACCTGGACTGTTTGTAAACGAATGGCTTAGCCAATTTGGAGGATGAAAATCCTGAGGTGAATAATGGCGATTATATTGAAGCCCCCATTGCTTCCATGGTGGCAACTGAACCACGGCTCAAATGCGGATATTGCCGGATTTGGGGGTCGTGTTGACATAAGTTGGCAGGGCAAGGGACACCAAAAGCAGACCGACGGTCCAACTCATCTTGAGGCATGCCTGTCCTTTGAACTGCTTCCTGCAACAGACAATCAGGGGGGTGCCCGTCTCCAAATGCCGTAGGTGTATCGACCAACCAGCGGATCGTACATGCTGTCCATGCCTTTGATCGGCCCCTTTTGTTTCAGTAACTTTCAAGTGGACCTGTCAAAAGCAAGCAACTGTGTTACGCCCGCATGTCTCACCTTCCTTTCTTCGACAATGTCTTCCCATGTTGCCGTCCTCCTGAACAACCGTCGAATGATGCAAGGTTGAACCAAAAAGCAACCAAGAAACGTATCGACGAAGAAACAAAACACAATCTCCAATCCTGACTTTTTGGTTCTGCCCGGATGGTTGGAAAGGCTTTTGCAGGCCTTACTACAATCAAGTAGAAGCAAGGAGTGATTCCATTCGCGTGGCAAAATCCACAAAAGCGAGACCGGCGCGACGACTGAGCCCCCTGACGTACCGTCACCCATGATTGCAACCTGCAAAAGCCGAAGATCGATCCACAATGAACAGGGGGAGATTGGTGAGCCAGGGGACTCTGGATCTTCCCAGATCAAAAGTTGATCAATTTCTGGGTGGTTTCTAATGAAACGATCGCCACTTTTGGTGGTTCCAAAAAAAGGAAATGGAGGAACCCAGGTGAGCCCCCTGTTTTCTCTGGGAATTTAGAGAGTCCCTGTGTCCCTGCCAAATGAACGATAGACTACTGAACATATCCACGAGTCTTCATGGATATAAACGGGACATTTAGTGATGTTGCCCATGACCAAAACCCCACAAGCACAAAATCTGAGGGACTTTGAGGGCTCGGAACGAACCAATGGATCCTAAAGGAAACTAGGTCCAGTTCCGGGCGATTCCCTCTGAGAACCAGCACCGACCAAACCTCAGCTACTTCCCATGGCGTTTTTGGCCTGCGGGGTGACTCAGCACGCGCCCGCGTGAGACCCTCCACTCTCAAATCTTAGCAGTTCAGTGGTTGGATTTCAACCACTAAACCACAATAAGCAAAAATGTCAAATGCTGCCCAAAAACAACCATGAGAGAAGCTCAAGCATTCCTGCGGAAAGAAGCGTTGGGATGCAAAAGACTGACAACCCCAAACCTTACGGAGCAGTTCCGCTTCGCAACTTCGGGGATACATGTTTTTTGACCCCCCATTCATTCCCATTCATTCCCATTCCTCTTTTTTTTGACCCCCCTCCTTGCTTGGTTTTGACCCCCCATTCCCTCAGTTTGACCCACCCCCTTTTTTGTAACCCCCCCTTCCCGCACAGTTCGGGGGGGGAATACTTGATCGCAGCCCCTGCTCAATGCCGCATGGTGGCCCTCACCCAGGCACGGAAAAAATCTTCGTCCAGCCCCAACACTAAAGCTACCCTCGGGGGAAAAACATATTATTATTATTATTATTATTATTTTATTTAAAAAAAAAAAAAAAAAACACACACACACACACACAGACACACACACAATGATCACAGCGCCTCTTCTCTCCAATAAAGCCGTGCGTCGGTGGGCAAATCCCTTAAGCCACAAGGCCGGTCGCAGGTCTGAACTTCTGAACTCGCGAGGAAGAAGTTAGAGCGGAAATGGGGCATTCGAGTAATCCGATCTAAGTTCCGATGTTGGTTTCAGAACCATATAGGAACAGGGGTCCATCGACATCAGGATGACCTTCTTGCGTATTTAATCAGTTTCTTTTGCCTTCCGTGCCAAGTTGGACATAGACGGGTGTGGTCTTCTCCCAAAAGACGTGTTGCCGGTATGAGTACTCAGTACTTGGGGGCCCTGGTTCGCAGTCTTATTTGGATCTGCCCTTTCCCCGGTGAAGCTGGGGCTCCACCATTCTCAAGCCCACTTGTCATGTTTGTCAACACGTGGGGTGGGAGGGACTGCAAGTTTCAAACCAACTACCCATAGCAATGTCAGGCAACTTGGCCTCTTTCAGAGGGATTCCATTGATTGCGGATTTTGTAAAATGGGGTTAAGGTTTGCCAAACAATCTAAAAGAATCGTCCTCAAAACCCAACCACAACTCATCAAATTGTGCTCTTCCTTGCACTTGATACCGTGCCTCCAATTAACATGGAACCTGACCGAGGGGTCCTGGAAGACCACTTTCCTTTTGAGGGCACCGGCTCCCTGTCAGATTCCATGCCAATGGTGAGAGGGTAACATGGAAGAATGACAACAGCTCTACAGAAACCGCGTGTTGCAAGAACATTTGGAGTTCTATAAGCCGATCTTCGGGACGTAGTGCGCTTTTGCCGTGGTTGAATACCGGGCAGTTCCACCCTAAAACGGCCCGTTGCATGTGGATGGACCGAATTCCGTTCGCACCACGAACTGAAACCATGGCTGAAGCCATTCTTTGTTGGTATTTACCGGGGAATCATCACTTCACAGTTTCTTAGGTGGTGCAGGATTTCGTCCGGCCACAGTAGGTCCTTTGCGCTGGAATCCCAATACTATTCGTCCATCCGGAAATGACAAAAATGAAATCCGAATCTGCCGTCATTCCCTTGGGATCTTGCAGTGTGCCGAAATGAATGACCATTCTCCTTTGAAAGGCAGACCCAAAATGACGGCCGGCTTGCCGATTCGTGAAACCGTGCAACCCTGCCATTACCCACCGGCAGTGAGCGCGATGCTTTTCCTGAAGAGCCGCGCCTTTCCTATGTTCGAAGCCAATCGATGGCTTGCTAATGGCGCGGAATCGCTGGTTTTCTTTGACGTGTTGCGGTATGTCCTGAGGTCCTTTTGGCTTCATTCCGATTGGTGGATCCCTTGCTAAAGGCTTTCTGACTTCGGTGGGATAGCCGACGTGAACAGTCCGAAAGTCTATTTGCACTGGGAACTGCCAAGTCCAAATTGGCCTTGAAAGGTGCGAAGCCAGCCTTTGAAGTCCCTTGGACACAACCAGCTTGGCTCTGAAACTCTGTTGCCCCAAGGACCTGTTTATAAAAGGTTCACCTTTTGGGACCTCTACTAAAAATAGACCAACAAGGGAAAACCAAAAGGTCAAAAGGTCGGCTTTGAACAACTGAGGAAATGCGTGTGCCTTTGAAATCCCTTGAAATCCACCTACTAACCGCCAGCGCTGACTGTCTGAAGTCATCTCTGCGAATCCGCCGGCCCGAGCCCGCGCGAGCTAGGAAGCGAGTCGGCTTGAGCGAAGGCTCGAGCTCGATGGCTCAGTCCTTGCTCCAAGTCACCTGACGGCAAGGCCAGATCTGAGCCCATCCCCTCGATGTTCCCTGATCCGTCCCTGGCCCAGCGAAAGAGAAACCTGCAAACTGATTGGCTTGGGCTTCTTTTTTTTGGGAGGAAGAACCTGCAAACTGATGGGCTTTGGACATTTGGGGGAAGGGGACCTGAGGTTAGGACGTCTGGTTGAAGGCCACATTTGTTGTGCGCAATGCTTTGCCAGACTCGACCTTGGCCTTCTGCAATTTGGCCTGGCTGGCCTTTTTGCATTCGTCCCTGTTAACCTATGACCATATGACCAGCAAAAACAGGAGTGTTTGCAGGCTAGGGCGTGTCAAAAGGAAAATCAAAGGACATCAGCCATTTTGGATGCAATGCCTTCTAAACGCAATCATCCTAGGAAAGGAAGCAATGCAAGTTGCCAATCGCTGACCCAAACCAAACCAATTTGGGTGTGTTGTGTGAGGGTTGGTCCTTTGTGTGGCTTCAAAGGCACAGTTGAAAACTTTTGGCTAAAATGGACACCCAACCACTAAACCAACTAAGAACAACTAAAAACCCAAGAAGACAAACACCCCCACTCCTGCAAACCTAAGGAGACGGCCGGGAACCGCCAAGATTACCCTTGGGCTAAGATTCAGCATTTCAACCCGCAGTCAAATCAATCCTCGCCTTCTTCGTAGGTTCCAGCTCAAGGTACACCTCGCTACTCAAAGCGGCGATCGATTCGGTACGGAAGTGGTGAGTAAGCCTGGTTTTAGCTTCTTGCACGGGGATTTACAATTATGGTTAGCGGGATATGATATAATCAGGTTTGCTTTTTCAGTCACACGTGATTGCCCTGGACACTGATCCCTAATGAAAGGAGTAGGGTACTTGGCCTAAGTACCCTACCCCTTTCATTAGGAATCAGTCTCCAGGGCAATCACCTGTGACTGAAAAGCAGTCGGATGCTTATTTGCGTTTATTACCACAAACTACCATCGCCCTGGGAGCAAACTCGCGCATTTTGAGATGGGCGACCAACAACTGATGTTAAGACCCAACAAGTGGGCAAAGCACTATAACAAAGCCAAGTGATCTTGGCGCCCCAAGTTGCAAGAGTCGCAAACCAAAAACTCTCTGTGAGGTCGATCTGCAATTTGCCCCAAGAAAACAACGCGACTCCTAAGTTAACCTTTGATTCGGCATGGGCTGGGAATCAGGTTGCAGAATGTCCCTCACTTCTGGTCAGCTGGTGGTTTCATTCGTTTTCTCAGCCAAGGCTCAATCAAGTGTTGGGTAGGACCCCTCAGCCTCTTCTTTGGCTGGGTTGGTCCAACTGACCCAGAACTAGACGACGAGTGGCCCGGAAGCATAGAGGCAAGTTGATGCAGGTGAGGTAACTCTCGCAAAGTTAGCATGAGGAGTTGGCAGGCGAAGCAATTCTCAAAAAGTTGGCATGAGAAGCTGGCAGGTTAAGTAACTCTCGAATAGTTGGCTGGCAAAGTTGGCGGGTGAAGTAATTCTCGCAAAGTTGACATGAGAAGTTGGCAGGCGAAGTAACTCAAGAGAAAAGTTGGCATGAGAAGTTGGCAGGTGAAATAACTCTCAAAGAGTTGGCATGAGAAGTTGGCAGGTGAAGTAACTCTCGAAAAGTTGGCGTGAGAAGCTGGCAGGTGAAGTAATTCTCGAAAAGTTGGCACGAGAAGATGGCGCGTGAAGTAACTCTCGAAAAGTTGGCGTGAGAAGCCGGCAGGTGAAGTAACTTTCGAAAAGTTAGCATGAGAAGTTGGCAGGCGAAGTAATTCTCGAAAAGTTGGCGCGAGAAGTTGGCAGGCGAAGTAACTCTCGAAAAGTTGGCAGGCGATGTTGGCAGGTGAAGTACCTCTCGAAAAGTTGGCATGAGAAGCTGGCAGGTGAAGTAATTTTTCGAAAAGTTGCCACGAGAGGTTGGCAGATAAAGTATTTCTCGAAAAGTTGGCATGAGAAGTTGGCAGGTGAAGTAATTCTCGAAAAGTTGGCAGGTGAAGTTGCCACGAGAGGTTGGCAGGTAAAGTATTTCTCGAAAAGTTGGCATGAGAAGTTGGCAGGTAAAGTAATTCTCGAAAAGTTGGCATGAGAAGCTCGCAGGTGTAGTAACTCTCGAAAAGTTGGCATGATAAGCTCGCAGGTGAAGTAACTCCTCGAAAAGTTGGCACGAGAAGTTGGCAGGTGAAGTAACTCTCGAAAAGGTGGCATGAGAAGCTGGCAGGTGAAGTAATTCTCGAAGTTTCGGCATGAGAAACTGGCAGGTGAAGTAATTAACCCTCAAAAAGCTGGAGCGGCGGAGGCGCTCCGCGTGCTACATTTGCAATTTACAGTTGCGATTTTCCAGCCATTTGTATCTAAAAGTTGCGATTTTCCAGCCGGAGCTGCGGGAGCACGCTCCGCGTACTACGTCTGTACTTAAAAAGTGCGATTTTCCAGCCGGAGCTGCAGCAGCCTCCGCGTACTACGTCTGTACTTAAAAGTTGCGATTTTCCAGCCGGAGCTGCAGGAGCACGCTCCGCGTACTACGTTTGTACTTAAAAGCTGCGATTTTCAAGCCGGAGCTGCCGCGGACCAGGGGGGAATCGAACCCGGGACCGCGGGATTGCGAAAGCAGGCGCGCACACCACGAGACAACTTCCAAAAGCCGTTTCGCGAGCAAGAAAATCGCACGGCGCCACAGCGAGAGCGTTTCGACACGCACGATCTCCGCAGAGGGTTCATCGGGCTCAAGACAGATGCGCACGGCGCCACAGCGAGAGCGATCCGACACGCACGATCCCCGCAGAGGGTTCATCGGGCTCAAGACAAATTCGCACGGCGCCACAGCGAGAGCGCTTCGACACGCAGGATCTCCGCAGAGGGTTCGCCAAGGTCAAGACAAATTCGCACGGCGCCACAGCGAGAGCGCTTCGACACGCACGATCTCCGCAGAGGGTTCGCCGCGACCAAGACAGATTCGCGCGGCGCCACAGCGAGAGCGCTTCGACACGCACGATCCCCGCAGAGGGTTCGCCAAGGTCAAGACAAATTCGCACGGCGCCACAGCGAGAGCGCTTCGACACGCACGATCTCCGCAGAGGGTTCGCCGCGCTCAAGACAAATTCGCACGGCGCCACAGCGAGAGCGCTTCGACACGCACGATCCCCGCAGAGGGTTCATCGGGCTCAAGACAAATTCGCACGGCGCCACAGCGAGAGCGCTTCGACACGCACGATCTCCGCAGAGGGTTCGCCGCGCTCAAGACAAATTCGCACGGCGCCACAGCGAGAGCGCTTCGACACGCACGATCTCCGCAGAGGGTTCGCCAAGGTCAAGACAAATTCGCACGGCGCCACAGCGAGAGCGCTTCGACACGCACGATCTCCGCAGAGGGGTGCGTTTCGTAAGCTCCCGTCGGGCCTACCCCCGCCATAAAAAGAAGAAGAATTAAGAGTCGAGATGTGAAGGTAGAACAGAAAAGTTAGCTTGTGTTTTTAGGATAGTGAAGTAACACCCGACAAATTAGCTTGTGCTTTTAGTAGAATGAGATAACAGCCGAAAAGTTGACATGAGAAGTTGGCAGGTGAAGTAACTCTCAAAAAGTTGACATGAGAAGTAGGCAGGTGAAGTAACTCTCGACAAGTTGGCATGAGAAGTTGGCAGGTGAAGTAACTCTCGACAAGTTGGCATGAGAAGTTGGCAGGTGAAGTAACTCTCGACAAGTTGGCATGAGAAGTTGGCAGGTGAAGTTGGCAGCCGCTTTTAGAAGAAGAACCCTTCGCAATGCTTCCGGGAACAAGCGCTTTTCCTCTGTTCGCGCGAACACTGTTGACAAGAAACAAGTGCTTTGGAAAACCATGCCTCTGCGCTGGAAGGAGGACACAGAGATTCGACCAAGACAGCAAGCAGCTGGCCCTTGGTGCGCTGCTGGCCAGACGTGGGGTCCCTCTGCGAAACGCCTAGGCCGGCTCCAAAGGAGCGAAGCCTTGCCGCCGTCATGGAGCCATCCAGCTCGGCCCGGAGCCAGTCAGAACCTCGTGCTTCTGCTTCGGCTCGCAAGGAGCGAAGCCTTGCCGCCGTCATGGAGCCATCCAGCTCGGCCCGGAGCCAGTCAGAACCTCGTGCTTCTGCTTCGGCTCGCAAGTGCTGTGCATCGGGAAGACCATGCCCAGAACTCGCTACAGCTGTCGAAGACGAAGTGGCCTGCGCTCTTATCACATAGTTCTTGAACACGCACAAAAGAGTAAGGCGACCAGCCTCTTACATTCAGGGAAACACTGTTGACAAAAACATTCTTTCGAGCAAGCCCTCCTCTGTCCGCTACGCGCGCTGAAAGACACGCTCCGGTATCTCAAGGCTTGTCGTGAACAAGTTGCGCATTGAGGGTGCCAAAAGAGCTAAGCAATAAAACCAAACTTGTGGGGTCTACTTGTAGCTGCGAAACCAGGCCTCTGCGTCAGGTCGGGAAGGTACGCAACACCATGGAAAATACACAAGCCATCTACACACAGTTCAAACATCCCCACAATTCGGCGGTATATTTTCAAAAGCGACACCATGCCTCTGCGATGGCGGAAGGGCACAAAGCTGCCACCAAAGCATCAAGCAGCTGACCCTTGGCGCGCTGCTGTCCAGTGGTGGGATCCCTCAGGGGAACATCCAAGCCAGCTGCAAAGGAGCGAAGCTGGCCCCGCGGCATTGAGCTTTCCAGCTCGGACCGCAGCCATTCCTCGCCACGCGCAACTGCTTCAGCCCGTAAATGCTCTGCGTCAGGAAGGCCATCCCCAGAACTCGCAGCAGCTGTGGAAGACGAAGTTGCCTGCGCTCTTACAACATAGTTCTTACACACGCACAAAGAGCAAGGCGACCAGCTTCTTACATTCAGGGAAACACTGTTGACAAAAACATTCTTTCGAGCAATCCTCTGTTCGTGCGAACACTGTTGACAAGAAACAAGTGCTTTGGAAAACCATGCCTCTGCGCTGGAAGGAGGACACAAAAAGTTGACCAAGGCATCAAGCAGCTGGCCCTTGGTGCGCTGCTGGCCAGAAGCGGGGTCCCTCTTCTGCACGCCAAGGTCGGCTCCAAAGGAGCGAAGCCTCTCCGCCGCCATGGAGCCGTCCAGCTCGGCCCGGAGCCAGTCAGACCCCCGTAGAGCTGCTTCGGCTCGCAGACGCTCTGCGTCAGGAAGGCCATCCCCAGAACTCGCAGCAGCTGTGGAAGACGAAGTTGCCTGCGCTCTTACAACATAGTTCTTACACACGCACAAAGAGCAAGGCGACCAGCTTCTTACATTCAGGGAAACACTGTTGACCAAAGCAATCTTTCGAGCAAGCCCTCCTCTGTCCGCTACGCGCGCTGAAAGACACGCTCCGGTATCTAAAGGCTTGTCGTGAACGAGCTGAGCATTGAGGGTGCCAAAAAAGAGCTAAGCAATAAAACTAAACTTGTGGGGTCTACTTGTAACTGCGAAACCATGCCTCTGTGTCAGGTCGCGAACGTAGAGCTGCAACCACGGCTTCAAGCAGCTGGCTCTTGGAAAGCCGACTACCAGATGCGGGATCCCTCTGCTGCACGCCGAGGCCAGCTGCGAAGGCACGAAGCTTGTCCAGCTTCATCGAGCCATCCAGCTCAGCATGGAGCCAGTCTTGACCATGTACTGCTGCTTCAGCCCGTAAATGCTCAGCATCAGGAAGAGCATCCAAGGGATTCGCAGCCTGCTGCGCGCGCTGAAAGACACACGGTGGAAACCAACAGCGCAAGCCAAAAGTGGTAATTCCAAGAAACCAAGAGGGGTATGCGAAACAATCGTGCGCTCTCGCATGCCAACGTCCAGCCTGCGCACGTCGCTGGCGACCAGAATGCGACATGGCAACACGACACGTCGGAGATACCCGCCAGCGCCGCGCGACTCTGATATCTTCTGGCCACCCGCTGTGTGTAACTGCTTTGACAAGATTGGTGCGCCAAGGAAACGAATCCGCACTTCGGAAGATGCGATCTGAGCGATGACACCTTCTACAGCACTAACACGGAGGACTGCCTTGAGCATGAATGCACGTGCAAGCAGCAATGACAAGCGACAGCAACCTCATGGAGCACCCCTCCAAAAAATGAAGCATAGCACCAACACAAAGAAGCCGTGTCGCCCTAATCAACTGTCGCCGCAAACATTCTCTGGGCAAGCTCCGCTACTGAGACACTCATGACATCCAAGCTTCGGCTACTATTGCTCTTGTCAGCTGCCTATCACTCCAAAATCCAACTGCGCATGTTTATTTTACAAGCCAATTACAAAAGCCAACTGCCCAATCTCACTTCACAAGCCAATGACAACTGCCAACTGCCCAATCTCACTTCACAAGCCAAATGCACTGTCCCAAAACACAAGCCAAATTTTCGAGTGTTACTTCACTATCCTAAAGCGCAAGCTAACTTCTCGGGCGTTTCTTCGGCATCGGAAAGCGCAAGTATTTTTTTCAGGCGTTACTTCACTATGCAAAAAATTGCAAGCCGACTTTTCCTTTTCTACCTTCTCTTCTCGATTCTGAGTTCTTTCTTCTTTTTCCGGCGGAGCTGGGGAGACGCTCTCCGCGCACTACTTTTGTACTTCAAACTTACGATTTTCGCGCCGGAGCTGGCGCGGACCAGGGGGGATCGAACCTGCGACGCCGCGATTGCGAAAGCAGGCGCGCAAGCCATGAGACAACTTTCAAAGGCTATTTGCGAGTAGCGACAGCAAGAGAATTCGCACGGCGCCACAGCGAGCGGTTTCGACACGCACGATCCCCGCAGAGGGTCTGCCAAGGTCAAGGCAGATTCGCCCGGGACCACAGCGAGAGCGATCCGACACGCGCGATCCCCGCAGAGGGTTCATCGGGCTCACGACAGCTTCGCACGGAACCACGGCGAGGGCAATCCGACACGCGCGATCCCCGCAGAGGGTGCGCCAAGGTCAAGACAGATTCGCACGGGACCACAGCGAGAGCGATCCGACACGCAGGATCCCCGCAGAGGGTGCGCCAAGGTCAAGACAATTCGCACGGGACCACAGCGAGAGCGCTTCGACACGCACGATCCCCGCAGAGGGTGCGCCAAGGTCAAGACAGATTCGCACGGGGCCACAGCGAGAGCGCTTGGACACGCACGATCTCCGCAGAGGGCTCGCCGCGACCAAGACAAATTCGCACGGCGCCACAGCGAGAGCGCTTCGACGCGCAGGATCTCCGCAGAGGGTTCGCCAAGGTCAAGACAAATTCGCACGGCGCCACAGCGAGAGCGCTTCGACACGCACGATCTCCGCAGAGGGTTCGCCGCGTCAAGACAAATTCGCACGGCGCCACAGCGAGAGCGCTTCGACACGCACGATCTCCGCAGAGGGTTCGCCGGTCAAGACAAATTCGCACGGCGCCACAGCGAGAGCGCTTCGACACGCACGATCTCCGCAGAGGGTTCGCCGCGCTCAAGACAAATTCGCACGGCGCCACAGCGAGAGCGCTTCGACACGCACGATCCCCGCAGAGGGTTCATCGGGCTCAAGACAAATTCGCACGGCGCCACAGCGAGAGCGCTTCGACACGCACGATCTCCGCAGAGGGTTCGTCAAGACAAATTCGCACGGCGCCACAGCGAGAGCGCTTCGACACGCACGATCTCCGCAGAGGGGTGCGTTTCGTAAGCTCCTGTCGGGCCTACCCCCGCCAGAAAAAGAAGAAGAATTAAGAGTCGAGAAGTGAAGGTAGAACAGAAAAGTTAGCTTGTGTTTTTAGGATAGTGAAGTAACACCCGACAAATTAGCTTGTGCTTTTAGTAGAATGAGATAACAGCCGAAAAGTTGACATGAGAAGTTGGCAGGTGAAGTAACTCTCAAAAAGTTGACATGAGAAGTAGGCAGGTGAAGTAACTCTCGACAAGTTGGCATGAGAAGTTGGCAGGTGAAGTAACTCTCGACAAGTTGGCATTGATGAAGTTGGCAGGTGAAGTAACTCTCGACAAGTTGGCATGAGAAGTTGGCAGGTGAAGTAACTCTCGACAAGTTGGCATGAGAAGTTGGCAGGTGAAGTAACTCTCGACATGAGTAGGCAGGTGAAGTAACTCTCGACAAGTTGGCATGAGAAGTTGGCAGGTGAAGTAACTCTCGACAAGTTGGCATGAGAAGTTGGCAGGTGAAGTAACTCTCGACAAGTTGGCATGAGAAGTTGGCAGGTGAAGTTGGCAGCCGCTTTTAGAAGAAGAACCCTTCGCAATGCTTCCGGGAAAAAAATCAAAGTGCAGAAGCCTTGCTGGTCTCGAAAACAAACAAACTCTCCACCACAAGGTTCCAACCAAGTTCAAACCATGAGTCAAGCCAGGGCAACAGGCGGTTCAACTTTTGCAGCTCTCAACATACTCTGGATGGACGAAACCCTGCACCACCGAAGAAACCCCGGAATGACAATTCCACTGTAAATACCAACAAGCAATGGTCCTCCATGGTGTTATTAGGTAGTGCAGGATGTCGTTCAACAGTATGAAGGCTGGACTTGGAGAATACCACTTTAACTGTAAAGCGGTATTTTCGAGCTTTGGCCAATACAAAACAGGCTCACTTCGTGGATGGGCCAAAAGTCCAAATGTTTACACCACCCAAATGGGCCAAAAACCCAAAAAGTGTAAAGTCCCGGAACTCGTGAAATGAACCACCAAAATGAACCAAACCCAAAAGGTTTCAAAAGTCCAGGAGCTCGGGAAATAAGCACGTATTCACCACTGACCTGGTGGCCACTCATCCCCCATGTCGAAACATCAAATGGCCAGGGCACAAATGGGTGGCTCGTCTTTGGGTGGACCAAATGGCTTCCCTGTAAAACCCCACCAAAACAGGGGTTACCTCAAACATATGGTTGTGGGTCAAAAATAGGTGCCCAAAATGGAGCCCTGGCAAATGGGCTCAAAGACTAAAACCTACGGTCCAATTCCTGGTTTGATTTTGACCCATAGCCATATCAATTTGCACTGCAAAAGCTCCTTGGAATTTTGGAGGATGCCCTTTGAGTACAGCCTGCGGAAACTCCGACGGACCCGCGCCAAGGCGGCAAGGGATCCCCTTGTGGATCACCCCAGTTGCAACCAGTGAAAACACGGAACTCTTTGCAGGCTTGATCAATTGAGTGGGGAACCCCAGATTGACGCAAAAAGAACAACTGGGAAATGTATCAAAGATCCCTTTGCAAATGCACACGTCTGTCCATCTTCCCTCATTTGTCGGCTGGGCAGGTGGAATGCTCCATGAGGAACCGGTTTCCCTTTCGCAACCGAGGCATCACGAAAGGGAAACAGCTGTCTGACACGCGCGCCACGTCACGGGGTCTGCTGATTTGGCCTGGAATAAGACCTCGTCCGCCATTGAGGGGCTTAGGCTGGATCTTTGTTTTGAGGGTACCCTTTTAGGGTGGTAAAAGGACACCACCCGGAAGACTGAATTTGAGGGTCCCCCTATTTTGAGACAAACCCATGTGCTATCTTGGCATCGAAACAAGCTAAGATCCGAACGATCCGGACCCTCGAGAAAAGAAAAGATGAACAAGAACGTCAGTGCCAGGGGCCCCTGCAAAGGTCCCGAAATTGATCCAAACCGATCAAGAAATACCGTATATCCCAATTCGATGGAGACCTTTGACAAGCGCCCTGCCTTTTTGTTCGCCTTGGTCCTTTGGTCCTGTTGTCATGGGGCCCCCAAAGAGGGGCTGAGAATGGTCCCCAACAGGAACTCAAGAAAACCCCAAATAGACCCTAGCCGCAAAAGGCGCCTGGGCTTGTGGGGTACATATTCCCCAGGACCCTTGACAACCCCGGATCGCCCCACGGGATTGCCGTTCCTTCCGCCTTCCGAAAGGACGGGGCCCCAGCCGTCACAGTGTCGTTCAGGGAGGCAAAGGAGCTTCCAATGCACCAGCACCTGAGTCCCGACAAATGGGTGTGGCTCAAGATTCAAGAGCTAGAGTTACGCGGGGTTTAGTCTTTGGTGGCACTTACCAAGCTGCGATTTTGGTGCATGTTTTTGAGCCACAGCCAAATGGTCAAGGAACCCTTTACACAAAAAATAAACCCAGGTGCTTTCCCCTACAACTCCGCAACCCTCCAAAACAACCCCCTTGAAAGCTTCCACAAAACCACCCCATATCGCCTGCCCCATAGCTTCCAGCTGTTGGGCAAATGATGCGCCCGGTTTTGTTTTGCTGACCCCAACCTGTTGAACGGAGGTCAAACAACATCGTGGCGATTTAACAAAAACCGGGTTGTGTGTGTGTGTGTGTGTCGCCAAGCAGCCCCGAACCTCCGGTGAGAAAAACAAATCGGACACCCCGTTTCACCCACTAGGTCCTCCAGTAAACAGGTTAGACGTGGGGGCACCCTCCCCAAAAAATGTTTAAGAGCTCACAAAACCCAATTGTTTCGGGTTTGGAGCTAAGGGACCCGATTTGAGATTTGTTTATTCAATCGGGCGATGAAAAAACCACTCGCATGACAAATGGGAGTGGGTCAAACATAGGGGAACCACTTAAAATGGAACCCTGGTAAATGGAAACAACGACTAAAACCTGCGGTGCCCCGGTGGTTTATCTTTGACAAACTCCCAAATCAGCTAACCAATTGCTTGGAAAATGAACGTCCTCCTTGGTTCCTCGAGCACTTTGCAGGAGGCGATTCAGTCGCGTCGAACATTTTCAAGCAAGTCTTGTCCGACCAGCCGCTCACCCCTACTTTTTCTGTAGGCACTAGCGGATGATGGACATTGCACATTTCGCTCATCGAACGTTTCTGAACCGGGGTGACCGTCATCGGATCGGGTCGTGAAGCTTTCTTAGTTGCCCCCGGGGGGGGGGGGGGAGGGCGTCTTTTTTCGTTTCCGACCAAAGGAAATATGCACGCGAGTATGAAAAACATGTACATGCCCATAAAAAGAAACTATTCCAACCGAAAGGGGAGTCAAAAGAATCCCACCCTGCCGAAATTTGTCTTGTCCACAACGGGGATGTTGGTGGATGTAAGGCAAAAGGCTTCAGATCAACTTCCCCTACTTTATGAGGCACCAAAGGCCTCAGCCAACCACAAGTTGCGAAGACAAACACGGGGGGGATTGTAACCTTTGGTTCTTCCCTCCGAATTGTTCATGTTGAAACCAAAGAGATGCGGTGCAACAATCCCAGATGTTCAGCACTGTAATTCTTGAAACTATACCAACTCATCAAATGATTTGTGACCGCCCTCAATCACTCAGATGCCCGATGGCCACGGGAAACACGGGCATCCTTCTTTGGTTGGTTTCGTTTCAAGGGGCCAGAAAACAGGAGTTGAAACAAGGGCGGAATCCAGTGGCGGAACCAACTTGATTTCAGATCCAAAAAGGTTGAAGTCCAAAGATCCGTTGCCCAAGAGCAGTCAAGTTGCTGTTGGCTTTCGTTTCGGGCTTTCGTTACCCCGGAGAGAGAAAAGTTGCGGGGAGTTGGGCCCCGGGCCACTGCCGGCTTTGCAGCTCCGGGCCACACACGTTGTGGTCCTCGCTGCTGCAGTCCTGAAGTCACCGCGAGGGAGATGGGGCTTGGGCTGTGTCGCAACCGTTTCCTTGACCCGAATCCATTTATCTAGTCTAGGGGTTGTTCATCCCTCCCTCCTCAACAAGACGGCACAAATCCAGGCGCAAGTTAGGGTTCCATCTGCTGGACTTCCCCTTTTAGTCCCTTCCAAATGGAGCATCATCTACTGGATATATTTAAACCGCACATGGTTGCAAAAGACCCACGGCTTGGATGGTTTCAGTTTGGGTCCAGGAAGTGACATCCTCAAAATTACCCCAGATCCTTTGTCCTTTATAACCCTTGGTATGGGCCCTTCCAGAAAATGACTCTTTGCAACCCCCACCCCCCAAAGCAAAAAACTTGAAACTTGCCAACAACAGTGAAGAACCCCTTTAGCAAGTTTCAAGATTATGTCAAGGTTCCTGTCGGCGCCGCGGCAGAGCGCCGTCCTTACAGCTGCACAAACCGGAAAAAGCGGAGCCGGCGGATTGAAAGAAGGGCGCGAATGTTCCACTGACGACGCTTGGCTTCAAGCCGGCGGACAGAAACCCCGCACCTGTACAGAAACCTTACTCGAGTCACAAAGACCCATGCTTCAAGAAATTCCCAAGGCGGAGATCCGCCTCCCCATTTAAGGCCAGGGGAAATTGTCCCTACCCTCCAACTACCCATACCGGTTTTGAGGCCGCGACTCATTTTAGGACCCTTCGCCTTTTGGACTCAGTACATAGCCGGATGGTTGCGAAATCCATTCGTCCGCACCAGGAACTGAAATCATGGAATGAAACCAGAAGGTTCGTTGGTACATATTTACGTTGGGGAGGCATCAGAAACCAGGCCTTCTGAACTGTGGCGCGAAATGTTTTTTGATTGTTTTTCTTTTTTCTTGTTTTTCCTTCCTTCTTTTTCTCGATCCGCACTAGGTGAGCTTGTGTTACTGCCAGGCAACCTCATGGTCGGCACATCGCGGACCAAATTCCCCCCCTGAAACCGCGCCGTTCTTCGTGTCCCCTTCGGATCCGAAGCTGAGCCAGCCCGACGTCTCAATACGACCCCAAATGGTGGGTCAAATCCAAATCGGGCCCCCAGTGAACATCAACCAAGCCAACCACTAAAATCGGTTCTAAAATGGGTGGTGAATTCACCTACCCCAAAATGGTACTATTGGTTTTGACCCGCAGCCAAATCACAACCCGAGCTCTGCGACATGCAACTTAAGCCCTGACTCATGCACATGCGTTGAGGCGAGCAGTGATCGGGATTGCCGGTGCCGATGGAGAAGAATCACACCAGGAGCAACCGTCTTGGGTGAGAGCAACCCTGGTACAAAAAAGGGGCGCCCCTCTAAATGCGTAGAACACACAGAGTGGCACTCCTCCCCGATGTCGGACCTTCTGTCATGGACAAATCGTTTCCCCAAAGCAACACCCAAGTTACGGGTTCAAACCCCCCTTGCAAAAGTTCTAAACTTTTCTGTAGCCATGCGATGCACAACATATATCCACTGGTCACTTAACACATACAAGAGCTGTCATCCTTGAGTTTGGTTCAATCAGGTGTTGAAGAAGTCAGTAAGTGATTCATTGGTTCATAGTAACTTTGTTGGCTGACCACACCTTCTATCTATCTGAGGTCTGTGCTGGCATCTTATTTGCGAAACGAAAAACACGGGCCCTGCAACCGACAGCACGCCCTGTCGCATGGCGTAATCTGTCCTTCTCATCGGGGTACAGCCGCTGGTCCTTCGCCAAATGGACGTGGGGGGGCTCTGGAAAAAGACGAAGCAACACCTGTGTCTTTTTCTTTTAAGGCGCCAGACTTTTTGCCTGCAGCCAAAGGGACAGCCTGTGCCAATCACAGCTGCATTGTGATGACGATGCGAAGGGGGCCTCATCCTTGAGACCTTGTCTTTTTCTTGACAAGACTCAGGACAAATGAAGGAAACCAAAGAGGCATGCGGCAAAACTGTCAAAAAAGTCAGCGATTGCTCTGGCTATGTCTTTTGAGGGTGTGAAGGGAAGCTGGCACCGGGCAGCACCAACATGTTTTTTGGGACGAGTCTCATTGGAGACTCGATTTCGCAAAGAAAGATGCCTCTGAAACGTGGGTTCCGCGCAGCAAGTGGGGCACAGTGAGATCGGCTGTTCTCCGAATAAACAGGGGGAACTGAGTTCTAGGGGTAGCTTCCATTTCCATTCTTTCCAGGGATCCTTCATTTCAGGAAACCAACACCAAGGGGAAACAGCTGGTTTTTGAAAATAATGATGATTTAAAAGAATGGGGAATCATCCTCTAGACTGGTGAATCACAACTTGTTTGTGTGAGACGTTTAGTACGTCCCCCCAAGCCCGCGGTTTCCTGACTTGATTCAGGGCCGTGCAACAAGTTCCTGCTCAAGTCGAGTCGCAATTAAAACCTGGTACAAAAATGGTCGACCCAGAACCATGTAAAGAAGTAAGAAGGCGGCCGAAGCTATTTATGGCTGGGATGGTCCCTTACTAACCTTCATCTACCCAGGTTGGGATTGTGGTAACAAAAGCGTTTGGAGCTGTTCCGGACTACCAAAATCCATTCCCAGCATGATATTCTCGCTGGAAAGGCGGTTCATCACAGAAACTGGGAGTCACAAAGCCGTGTTCCCTCCAGTATATGCGTGTGTCCATCTTCCTTTGAGGGTACCCGTTCTTGCGGTTTTGAAGGGAAACCTAAAGGAAACGCACCATTTTGGGCGTCCCCTAAAAAAGACACTCCCATACGTTGAACGGCACCACTACGCATGGATCTTGGGCCAAAGCCGGACATCCTGGTGTGCCCATGTAACTTCCGATCCATGTTTCACCGTATTCCATTTGCTTTCGGAGTAAGCACCATGCAAGGGTTTGCTGCCCACCAAAATGACTGGACCCCTCCCCTCCGCAGGCGGGGCCAATGTTTCTTTGTCAGGTTCCGCGGTGTGGATTGGAGGTTCGCAAAGTTGCAGTTCACCTACCAACCAAAATGGGATCCCAAAACGGTGTTGACCCACGGCCATAACGCTATCGGGATACGCACCCTTTGCCACTCCTCCATCATATTCTGAATGATCTGGAACTTCAGAGGCAAAGACTGCACCGTCACCTGCCATTGCCCCGCACGCACACGCTCATGCATGCAGGCAGGAATTGACACGTGCGTCTGGCTTCGGTGGTTCTTTCCGACTTATGAAGCGGGTTACCAGGCAATCAAGTCACTGGTCGTTGTTCAAACTACACTTGCACTCCTTGAAGAGCTTCAAAATTAGGGATTGGTTCGTCCTTCCTTACGCAAAAAATGCACCTAGCACTCGGAGGGCGCGGCCAAGTCGCCAAGTCGACGGGAGCTTTGTTCGTCAAAGGCTCCAGATTCGGATCCCAGTGAATCGTCGGGGAAACTGAGAGTATTGCGGTCTCAAACAGAGGTGTCCTTTTGGGGAAAATAGATGGCCCTGGTAGTTGATTAAACCACCAGGTAAATCAGGAATCGCCCTCTATTTTTAAACCAAATCAACCAAAAAGGACACCTCTGGTCTCAAAATGCCCCCCTGTGAAAAGGAAGACCAGCTGCGCTTGAGAACCCTCCACCAAAAAAACGGCACGTTTTAAGTTTACCCGTCGCTGCCCTTTGTATAAACTGTAGGTCCAAAAAGCACGTCCTGGAGAGGATGAGTTCACAGTGATGCGGTTCACTTGATGCATACCCTTGACAATCATCTAACTGGTGAGTGAACATACTTCTCCAACCCCAACCACATCCCCTGTAAAAGAAGCTTCCTGGGTGAGGTCGCAACCCCCCAATTGCAGCGTCGCAAAGGGGAAACTGCAGAGATCCGCAGCTCGCCAAAGGCATCTGTGCTTGAGCCTGGGGCCTCCTAATTCATTGGGTGAATCGGGCAACTCGGACCACCCCTCACCCATCTATTCGGAGGCCTTTCTCACTCCCCAGCTGCATGTCCAGCAAGGGCATACTTGCTTTCCGCCATGCGGCTCCAAAGACCACGTCGCTCCAAGTACAATAAATTCGATCCCAACGGAAACCAAAGGGCACCCTTCGCCCATTTTCTACGGGGAATTTGAGTGAGGTTCAAAGCAACCGAGTGTGTCGAATTTGAAAGAACATCGTTTTGCCAGGGTTCAACCACTAGGTCCTCCAGTAGAGAGGTTAGAATAAGGGTAAGTGCCCGATTTTTTTTCAGGACGGTAAAAGAAAGGGCACCTAGCTGGGGGACCTAGACCAACATTTCTCCCAAATGACCCATACCTAGCGGAACTCACCTTGTTTGTTTCGCTGAAAAGGTGATGATTGAAAACCAACGAACTCGCTAGGGGGATGTCTTTTTTAGGGGTCCCCGAAATGGTCCTTTTTCCTTTTGGATTTCCTTTAAACCACCGAACGAAAAAGGGGTACCCTCAAAAAAGACACGCCCATGTATAGGGACCCCTCTTTCAAGTTGCCACTCGAGGGAAAATATTGCTTCAGATTCTGCGGTCCTACCCCTGCCATCAACATCCAACAACCCCCCCGTGCCATGGACGCTTCAAGAGTAGGTAAACCGGCCGTAAGTGTCCACCAACTCCTTCCCCCGCCACGGGCAAGCGCACCCTTTTCAAACCCTCTCTCAGCCGCTCTGTACTTGAGCTATTGCCCATCTGGAGAGGTGCAGCGTAGGGTTCCAACTAGATCGCCCAAAGACTAGGGCCTCCAGTAGAGAGGTTAGAATAAGGGCACCCGATTTTTTTCTAGGAGGTCTATTTTTGTAGGGGAACCCTCCCAACCAAAAAAGTGGGTGAGAAAGGGCAGCTAGGGGACCCAGTCACTTTGACTGGCCGCAGGGGCAATTTGAGTTGGAGCCCTACTGCAGGGCTGGGCGAGTTTCGGCAAAGTGCCGCTGAAAAGCAACCAGTTGCGCCAACAAAACTGAACACAGTAGGCCTACAGAAAAAGGTCAAACCAATCTCAGTTAGGTGGTCTTTGACCCACCCACCCCCCACACCCACACACACACAAACACAAATTTAATTTGCTACGCCATGGGGCAAAGTTAAATGGACACAATGACCATGAAAAAGTCGAACCGACGAGCCAGCTGAATCGGTAAATCACGCCACATAGCCAGAAGCAAGAAACTTGGGCTCCTCGGAAAGGCCGTGGTAAAAACCCATCGAATGCAAATCGCTAGGTCCATCACCATTGACGACGCTTTCAACACCTTTAAGTTCAATGCACGTTTGCATTGACCCAGTGGCCGGCCTAGCATTGCCCCGATTTTTCGGGTTCCCTGCTGGCCACAAACGCTTTGCCCCTGACTTTCGGTTTTTGTGCCACCGGGGTTTGTAGGCAACTGCTTGTTTCAACCCCGGCCCAGCTCTGCGTTGCCCCGACTTTTGGGGGTTGTCTCCAGGTCGCAACTGCTTGGCTTCAACCAATGGCTGTGGGTCAAAATTAAAATTGAAAAGCTGGGGTTAGGCAGGTTTTAGTCTACCTTTCCAGCCACACACAATCCTTCGCCCAGCCCCTGCACCGCCTGCAGCCAGTGGCTGAAGCCAAAGCATGAATTTCATCTCGAAAGGGGTGGATCGGCTCTCGAATGGCTTTCCTTAAGCCCTTTCAATGGTGTCCTCAGTTGCCCCAAGGACCTGTTTATAAAAGGTTAACCTTTTGGGACCTCTACTAAAAATAGACCAACAAGGGAAAACCAAAAGGTCAAAGGTCGGCTTTGAACAACTGAGTCTCTTAGCTGAAACTCCCTGGAGAAATGCCATAGACATGCCATGTCAAAGCAACCGGTGACCCCATGTCTATGGCGCGTTTGGAAGACCAAGGAGCCGAACCATTGGAGCGTTCGCCCCCAATTTTACCACATTCCCTTTCGCTCACTTCCTGAGTGGATTGGCAAAAAAACAACCTGTTCTTTGCCACTGAAATGGCTGTAGTGGTCAAAACCAATGGGATCCCATTTTGGCTGGTAGGTGAATTGACCATTTTAGAACCTAATTTTAGTGGTTGGATTGGTTGATGTTCACTGGGGGCTAACCGATTTGGATTTTGATTCATGGCCTAAATGGTCTTCCTAAAAAGTAAGTCCAGGAACTCGGGGAGTGAGCTCTATCATTTTTGCTGTTCGCGCGCCAGCTGAGTCAAGCCATTCAGTCCTCATCGCGAGCTCAGCCGAACACATCAAAGGACCTCCGTCCAAAGGACCGCAAGGGCCTGACAGGCTTGGGCAAACTTGAAGTTCAAACAACCAGACAGTTCCCTAAACAAAAATCGGTATGTGCCAAAATAGGGATTCCCTCAAAATCGTGATTTTGTTTTCGGCCTCCTTTTGCCTGAAAAGGGTATGCCTCCAAAAACACTGCTGAAAGGATATTGGCGTGTCTTCTTTTAGCCCCTCCCAAACTGACAATTCCCTGAAAACAAACCACCCCCCATTTTTTGGGTACCAACTCCAACAACTAAAAGAACCACACCACCCCAAAGCACGCCTGGCAGTTTCAGACGGCCCGGAAGACGTCTTCCCGAAAGGCCGCCGGCAGCTCGGACAGGTGTCCTAACCATCAGATCCCCCCCAAATCCCCCTTGACTTCAGGGCCCATCGGCGATCTCGTGGTGGACATGGCGCAAGGACCAAGCGACACCGCGGGTACCCGATTTTTTGTATGTAGTGTATTTTTGTAGGGGAACCCTCCCCCAAGAAAAGGGGTGAGAAAGGGCACCTAGCCTAGGGACCTAGGCTAGCTTTGAACACGCTGCCAGCGCTGCGAGATGAGGGTAAGATCATGTTGACCTGCTTTTGTTCAACGTAAGTCTGCTAAGAACAACAGCAACTTCATTGCAGCGTTGCCCTTTCGATTGCCGATCTGTACCCCGTGTTGCACCTGTTTCTAGCTCGCTCCAAGCCTCCAAACATCATCTCCAAAAACTCCCTTGAACAAGTTTATAGATCTACTGTAGGTTCCAATAATCTTGTGGGACACCCCGACTGTGTGCGGCTGTGCGTATGTGCGTCTGCGCGTCTGTAGGTCTGTGTGTTTGTGTGGCTGTGTGTCTGTCTGTGTGTCGGCGTGTCTGCCCGTATGTCTGTCTGTGAGTCTGTGTCTGTGTGTGCGTGTTTTTTAGGCTACCGTTGGTTCAAAGGGAAACCGGCGGAAACCCATGCCTTTTGACACGATGCCCATCTGTTGACACCTCGTACCCATGTCTTGAATCCCGGACCCTGATACCCTGAGTTTGCTTTGTCAGCGTCCTGCATCTTCTGGACGTGCAGGCCCAAGCACTCTTCACCTAGCCCACGGACACGGTGGCAACTTGGGCTTTCGGATCCGTTTTCAGATCCCTGCGAAAAGTTGAACACTTTTAGCGGGTTGAATGGAAACTACCACTAAACCCTAAAAAAAAAGCTAAAAAGCTAAGAGACCAAGGTACATATGCCTTTCTGTGATACCAGCGTAGTTACTGACCAGTGTTTCTCACTTCCAGGCAAATTCAATTCTTTGGTATCACGGAAGGTGGTTAAAAATCTACTCTCCAGAACCACGGGCAAGCAGTAGGGGTTTATCTACGGCCTGAAATCTTTATGGGTAACTTGATTGAGCATAACTTCTAGATCCTTTACTGGGCTGTGCTCAGATCCCTTGCTGAAAGTTGAAAACTTTGTGGGTAAAAGGACCCCCTCACTAAATTAAAAAGCTAAAAAGCTAAGGGGATGGCTGGGAGCCACCAAGTTTAATGTAAAGATCTATCAACAAAGAATCTCCGTTGAATCCCGAGAAAAAGGGGAAGTTGATTGGTGGCGTTCTCCAGAATGTGAAGCTGACATTCTTCTGGGCTGTTCAAAAAAATGGAGGTTGCCAAGCCTAATCCATAATCCCTATAGGCAAGCCACCACAAAGGGGACCTGGGTAACCCAAGGTAAGGATTAAGGATGACCTTTGAACAGCTGACACCACTGGAGCAAGTGTTGATCAGCGCCGAGACATTCACCTAACACCCGGCTTTTCACAACAATCTCAGGAAAACGGCGCGGTATGTGGCGCGAAGCAAAGTGATAGCATGGAAAATGGTCCTTTCTATGATGCCAAAATGGGACTTTTCAGGGGATT